TGTGTGTGTGTGTGTGTGTGTGATTCTGTAGGCGTCGGTTCACATGATCATTGTGTGACGATCTGCGATTTGGCAACACAGTGTCACAAGACGTACAGCGGCTGCAGTGTGTGTCTGTGTGCGTTGGTCCTCCCGTGGTCAGCGGTGCCATCTGGAGTCAGTGCGGAGGCCAGGGAGGAACTTGATTGACCTTTTCCTACGTTACCCAGGATGCCTTTCAGCAGTTTTTACACCTGTGCCTGTTTAATTCTTCAGCTTTTTATTTTCCGTCCAACATCCAGAGTGTTAAGCGTCGCCATGGATGCAATGAACGTCGCCAGATAAACACAAACATGATCCGACATGTTTCCTCCACTTTCAGTCCAGATGCATATTTGTGTTTGTAGCTGCTGTGACTGACTCCACTGGAGTTTTATTGTTTCAGCAGGTTTTTAGAAAGTGAGGAGACAAATCGTTTATTTCAACAACAAACGTAAATTTGACTGTTTTCTGAAGATTAATGAGTTGAAGAGAAAATAATGTGTTGGTCAAACATCTGGCTTTTGTCTGAGAGAACATGATCCATATTGAAGAGAAGGTTGAACTTTAAATCTGACTTAAATATTTGTCTCGTTTGGACTCGAGGGAACCAACGTACACAGACGTTTGATTTGTGTTGACAAGTGTTGAGCTTCATGTTGTATAATTGTGTTAATGTAACTTGAACGACAGCGTGAATCTTCACACCTCAGCTGTGAATCCCACAGTCTGCTGGAGGCTGCGTCCGCCTCTGTCCACGTTTGATTTTAATAATCTGAGTCGCAAAAAAAAAACATTTATTTTCACATAATCTTGAAAGTGTTCATTGTTTCATCAGTTGAACTGTTTTGCTGTTTGAGTTCAGCTTCTAGACTGTTTTTAAAAATGCATCCAGGAAACTGACTATCGATTAAAAGTCTTTCTTGAGTGAGAGCGACTCGCTGATCGTTTCTATTTTGTGTGATTATTAACTCGTGAAGATAATTTTTATAGAAGAAGCAGCAGACGAACATCAGTTAAACTAAAAGTTTGCGTGGTCGCTTTAATCAGGACAGAGAGCAGGAGCTTGAGAGTAATTATATCAAGTCTCTTTGTTCGGGCATCTCCTCCTGGGGTCTGTTATCGATCGGTGATCACAGAAAATGATTAAAATGATTGATCTGTGTCTGTGCTTCAGGAGGTGACCGTCAAACAGCTCCAGGATGCTGTCATCCTCGTCCCTGCTGACCTGCCGTTCATCAGGGGGCATCTGATTTACCAAACATGATGAAGACTGAGCGCCCTTCGGGCAACGGGGCGTCCGGTGGGAGCAACGGGGGAAGCGGGAGCTCAAACCTGCGGAGTCCCTCACCCCATCGCAACGCCTATGAGGCGGGGCTGGCGGCTCTGAAGAAGGCCACCGACCACCTCAACAATGCCGCCAACGGGGGCTCTGACCCTGCGTCCAAACCCACTCCCTTGCCTCGCCCGACCGGGAGAGACCGGAGATATGGATCCAACGTTCACCGCATCAAGAACATGTTCATGCAGATGCAGTCGCCGGGAGACGAGGAGGACGGAGCCAAAATGATCGGTACGGAGCGTCAGCGGTCTGGTTTTTGTTGAAGCTTTGAAAACAAACCGTGTTAGAAGGAGTAAAACTTCATTTGGTCAGCTGCCATTTGTTTGGGGGGTGGAGCAAAGCTTGGAATTAACTATTTGCTAGAACCTGAACCAACTTCATTCACTGTTAAAAGTTTTCCTCCTCTTCCCTCTCAGGTATAGAACAGTCGGTCAAACTGTCGCTGCCACGGGCCTCCAGCCTCAACGAGAACGTGGACCACAGCGCCCTGCTCAAACTCGGAGGCACGGTCTCAGAGAGGGTCAACCGGTTTGACTCTAAACCAAGTGGGGAAGGCGAGAGCTCCTCCGTGGGTTTCACCAAACTGCAGGAGACCAGGAGGATCTTTGAGCAGCGGACCCTCCAGGTCAGAAGGGTCCGTGTGGTGTGAACGTTTGTGTATTCACTTGTGGGCCAGAGATTAAAAGCTGAGTCTTTGTGTGTCCTCCAGGAGAAGCAAGCGGCCACGAACCGGATCTTGCTGAAGAAGGAGCGGGCCTCGGGCTTCCAGGGCAGCCGTCTAGATGTCGTGGCCCGCTTTAACGGCTCCACTGAGGCTCTGGACCGACTTGACGACCCCCCACCTTCCGCTCCCGCTCCACCTCCCTCTTGCATTCCTGCTGCTGCAGCTTCAGTCGGGCCCGGTGACGCCGTCAGCCCCACCGTGAGCCAGCTCAGCGCCGTGTTCGAGAAGGGCGAGCAGCCAAACAGTCTCACCACCCCCCAGCGTCGGTCAGCGCCTGCCCTGGCTCCAAAGCCCAAACCTCCAGCCAGAGGAGAGGCTGTCAGCAGGAAGGTGTGGGGGATGTGTTCAACTTAGAAAAGTGCAGGAAATAAGAAAAGGAAGCTGGTTAATTTGCATAAAGGCTGTGAACTGATTCTCTCTCTCTTTCTCTCTCTCTCTCTCTCTCTCTCTCTCTCTCTCTCTCTCTCTCTCTCTCTCT